ATGTGTAGCGTTTCAAGGTTCTGATATACAATATTTTTCTCTTTTCCTGGTTGTTTAAAATGAGCTCTTTTTCCCTTGTTGGCTCAGCATGCGTGTGTGCAGGGAACTTTAATGGGAGTGGAGGAGTCAGAGAAAGAGAGTGGGGAGGGATGGGCAGGTGAAACTCATACCCTGTAGATATTAATGACATTTTTCTATATTACAATTCTAGCAATAAAGATGATGGTTATCTTGCTTCTGTTGCCTGGCATAATGTATTCTGTGGTGTATGGAGCAGACAATGGTTCTCCAGGGGAACTGGGCACAGCTCATCCGCAGCCTGCATTACTTTTCTGAATATTGTGTATCCTCTTGTGCGGCACCGTAGCTCAGTGTTCCTCTGCTGACTGCACGTCACCTGGGCTTTTCTTCTTGATTTTTCCCACATGCCTCCCACTGCAGAATAGGTCATACTCATCAGGAAGTGACATGAGAAGCAGTGCCACCCCCTCCTTCAAACATTAAGAAAAGCTGAGCAAGTAAACTAACTTTGAAACAACTCTGTTCAGCTCTTGCAGGTGGGGGTGATGCAGGAGAGAGGCTCTGGGTGAGGATTAAGGGGATGGACAGCAAAACAGATGTCATCGTGGGTGTCTGCTCTCAACCACCCACCCAGGACGATAGAGCATGGATGAGCTGTTCTATGGGCAATTAGGGGAAATCTCTGATCTGTTCCCCTCATCTTAATGGGAGGTTTCAACTTCCCAGACATACACTGGGAATATCACACTGCCGTGTCAGGCAAGCCTGGGAAATTCCTAAAACATGTTGAAGGTAATTTCCAGTCACAAGCACTTAGTAAGCCATCTAGAAAAGGTGTCCTCCGAGGTCTGATGTTTGAGAATAGGGAAGGCCTTGCTGGAGAGGTGATGGTAGGAGGCTGTTTTGCCCACAGTGATCAAATAGTTGAGTTCAAAATTTTTGATGCAATGAGGAAAAAGGTGAGCAGAGTTGCCATCCTGGCCAGTTGACACTGGCTACCGTGGTGTCAGACGAGTGGCTGGAGAGCAGCCCAGCAGAAAGGGATCTGGGGGTGCTGGTGACAGCAGGCTCAACGTGAGACAGCGGTGTGCCAAGAAGACGAACCACTTTTTGGGGTATATTAAACACAGCATAGTCAGCCAGTCAAAAGAGATGATTCTCCTGCTATATTTAGCATTGGTGTGGCCTCACCTTGAATATTGTGCGAAGTTCTGGGCCCCACAAAATAAAAAAGATGTTAAAGTACATCCAGAGGAGGGCACCAGATCTGGTAGAAGGGCTGGCAGGCATGTCCTGTGAAGAGAGGCTGAGGACACTTGGGTTTGTTTAGTTTGGAGGAAAGGATGCTGAGAGGAGACCTCCCTGAGAGGGAGGTGCCGGTCTCTGCTCCCTGGTCACCGATGGCCGGGCTCATGGGAACAGCACAGAGCTGTGCAAGGGGAGGGTCAAACTGGACACGAGGAAAAAAAATTCTTTACCATGAGGGTGGACAGACACTGGGACAGGCTTTCTGGAGGGGTGGTTGGTGCTCGGTGTCTGTCACTGTTCAAGATGCATTTGGACAGTGCTCTTGTTAACATGCTTTAACTTTTGTTTAGCCCCGAAGTGGTCAGGCAGTGGGACTGGATGATCTCTGTATGTCCCATCCACATGAGCTATTCTATTCCATTGCAGTCTAACCCATGTAGGATGCAATTGCTCCCTCCTGCACTCTTAGCTGTCTCTTGTCTTCCAATATTGCTTGTTACCCCTGTGTGCTGTGGCTTGCAGGGCCAGGAGAGGCTGGGGGTGGGAAGGTGGGCAGTGGACATCTCTGTGGCTCATTGCCCTCAGCGGATGAGAAACATGAGGCAGAAAGGTTTAAAGTGCACAGCTCTTGCCAGGGGTGTTGCGACAGATGGGCAGTCTCTGCTCTCCAGCAGCAGTTTGTGCCATCTATAGCCAGAGCATCCATCGCAGTCTGCAGTTTGGCTGAAACCCCCATGAGCAAAATTAGCCTTCCCCTATAAAAGGGGTGGGAGTAGAGGGACTCAGCTTAAGCTGTGCTCCAAGTACTTCCCAGCAGGAAGCAGTGGCTTACCAGTACCTGCTGGGTGTTGAGGAAAAGACATATCTGGTTATGGATCTACCCAGCATAAACACTGTTCTGCTTTCCAAGTGGTACAGATCCCTCCAGGCTCCTTGCCTTAACATCCCCTCAGCATCAGGAAATAATTGCCCTGACTACCCTGAAATGATTCTTGGTGTTCAGGTAGTATCCCCAGTGATGTTAGTTCAAATATGAAGATTTATAGGTTAATTTTTGCATTTTCCCAGTTCTTTCTCTCCCCAGGTATCTGCCCCGCTGGGGCTCGAGACCTGGAATAAACACACAGGGAAAAATTTTAGGGAGTCTTTGTTAAGACTATGTATCACTGTTGAGACATGTTCAGAGGGTCCAGAATTAGAATGTGTGTCTCTTTGTAGCTCATAGGATGTATTAATGAAGAGGAATCCAAACAGACAATTTATTTATTTATCAAAAATCTATTAACAGGATTTATTACAGGCAAAAGAAGCGGTGAGTCTATTTTAATAAATATTTTATTTTGAAAGTAATCTTGCTGTAGCAGACACCACAGGCAGAGATCTTCCGTTGTTCACTTCCAGATGTTAAAATTAAGGGAAAATACGTACGTGCAGAGAACAGCTTCAGAAGTTGCCAGATAAAATGCTGAAAACTGAGCATTTTTAACAATCCTTTCTCCATTTAAGAGTGAATATTCTACCTCACCTCTATTCTGATGTACTTCATCCTTTTAGAAGCAAACTGCAGAGTTGCTGCAATGTGTTTTTTGTTTCAGGAAAGAAAGGAAGTGACTGAGTGGTTGAAACATGAGCTTAGTAATGTGGATATATGTCTTCTTTTGCCTATGTTGCCACTGATTGTTGTCCATTTTCTTCAGTTTTCTGTGCCTTGACCTTCACTCTCCTAACACTGTATGAGATGTTTAGAGCAATATAACCCTCAATGGTGAGCATATACCTTAAATGTACGTATCAGCACTTGTATGAAGCTAACATTGCAATGAGCTTTAATTGCTCTACTTTTCCCACCTTTCTTCCAAGTGGCACAATGACCTCAGACATCAATGGACTGCTACCAACATGATCTCAAGATGCTTTCCTTAATTTTCTGGTTTTGGTTTCTCACCCAATGCTACTATGCCTTTTATTTGCTTGCCATGTACACAAGTGCCTGTAAACAACTTTGACATTTTTTTCCATGTCTGGAGACTTTGCTACTACTGTTATGGAAAAAGTCCCCACTTTCCATTGGAGGTAATGGTCAGGTTCCACTCTGAGGTCATTTTGACACGTTTCAATTTGTCCTTGCTCAAGGAAAATATTTACGTGTTTATTATCAGCTCTAAAGTCAAAGCTTTACTGTTCACAGAAATACATAACTTATTATCAATGCAGTTCTTTTTTTCCAGAGCCTGAGGAAAACCACTTGTAATGGAAATTAGCAATGGCTATTACTGAAGAGGGGAACAAAATGTTTCCTTTTTATTATCTGTCCTATTAATAGTTACCAAGAAAAGTCAGGTGACAATGTAGAAAAATTAGATGACATCAAGTCAGTTTTTAATCTTATTCCATCCTTTGTAATGATGAACCAGAAGAGACCCTAATTATGCAGTTACATGACTTAAATAGTCTTGCTATTGTAGATAATTGCATTTGCAACATGCCTTGAAAGTGTCAGCAGAGTTATGGAGCTGATTCTAAACTAAATTTCTTCCTTGTTTAATGCTTCCATACAGAGGCAGTGATACATTTCTATTTGAAATTATGCAATGAGTTTCTCAAGCATAAGTAGTGATAGCATCCCATTTTCGAGCTGAAGGTCACGAATGCTTCAGGATTTGTTAGTGTCTGGCCTCACATTTTATTCAGCTGGGAAACGGAAAAGGTTCTCATGTGTGTCACCCCAAAATGAAGCCAGTTCACCCAGCAGTTGTACCTAAAGGACTTCGTGTATTCAACAAATTTATGTTTTGTAGGAGGGACACTTCACTGATCCCACATTTATACTCACAACTCAATTGCTTCCATCCCAACCATTAGGCAAAACAATGAATATGACTTTATATGATCTTATTTCAAGCATGGCAGGACAATGATTTGTTGCTTCAATACTGTCTTGCTGGAAGCTCCTCTGCCTTTTTTTTTGTATTGTAGAGAGCGGAAGCGCTAATGCCTGAAAATTTAAGCAAATGTTTTCCTTCCAATTTTAGATCTCTCTCATAACTCCCTTGAGTATTTATCCATTTTTATCTTTATAGCTTGAAATTACAGCAATTGTTTAGCAATTGTTGAAGAGTACTTCCTATTTTGCTCAGAAATCTTTTGCCATTTAATCTGTCTATATTGTATAAAAAGACCTTGGACTGCCAAGTATAATATGGAACTCAGAAATATAACGTACAATAAATGTTAAAGTGCATAAGGAGCCTTAGGATTTCAGCAGAAGTACAGTGGGGTACAATGAGAGGCTCATCTGTTCAGCTGCTTCTCACATTTTAGTTTTGTTTATGCAAGGAGTCAGTTAGGGTAAAATTATCTTATGTGCAGGAATTTAATAAAGGGAAAAAAAAAAATTCAAAAATTGTCCTTTCAAAAGGTTCCCTTGTTGACTGTACTTACAGAAAGTACTCACATCACTGAAAGATGCATCCTGCCACAAATTCCCCTTGGTGATTTTCTGAAGGTGGCAACACCTCAAACTTCTGCTGGTTTCAGAGGCAGGTTTTAGTCCTCTCTCTTCTGGCACGTCCAAAAGATGGGTGAAGCTGCTGGATCGGTATGAAACTCTGCACCATCTGTTTTTGTCACAGTGAACAGTGCTCGGAAAAGGTCATAATCTGTACATACGCCTCATGGCTCAGTGAGAAGAATGGATGCAACCTTATCCCGTGTATTTTTCTTCCATGCAGTGCTTTTTCTAACTGTGCCAAGTGACTGCAGGTAAGAGAGAGCAACAGCCTTGCAGTGAAGGCCAGTGAGATCCAAAGGCCACCGCATTCCTGCTGTCACGATGACGGTACTTAGTCACCCTATTTGCTACCGTGAGTAAAGTAGTTCCTTGTTCTGTCCCTATTCACTTATTCAACCCTTTGAGCAAACCGGGGTGAGAGGCTGCACATCAGTATTCAAGGCACAACATGAGATGAGGAATCCGGATAGGGGGGCTCGGTTTGTTCCCTTTGAAATGGGATTGAAATCGCTCTAGTTCTCACAGAGCCCTTTTTGTCAAGGGGTCTCAAAGGGCTTCACAAAATTAACACCATTTAGAAGGTGATAAAAGTCCAGGGAAAGAAAAGCGAATGATTAACCATCAGCAGAACTGCTCTCCCTTTTGCCACCAGACAGCACTGCCTCACAGACCTCATGCACATGGCTTCTTTTCTCACCAGGAGCTGCAGGAAGGAGCCTGTAGCACCGAGGAGAGGGGGCAGCGAGTGCTTTCCCAGTCTAGAGGCTGTGTGCCCTGCCCCAATCCTACTGGGGTCACTGCTGGAGATGAGCTGGCACACACTGCTGCAGCAGGGCACCGTGGAGGTGAGTGGGGCAGCTCATGTCACCCCAAAACGCCTCCCAGGCTTCCTGCATAGTCAAGCTGCCATCCCCGTGTGTCACATTATTAGCAGGACTGAGCTCAGGGCTGTACATCCTCGTGTCAGCATTTCCCTTCCAAGAGGGTGTGATGAATTTGCAGCAGGGGACCTGTGGCAGTTCGTGCTTGGCAAGTGCTGTGTGAGGCCAGGGACCCAGTGACTCAGGGAAACTATTAATAGTCTCCATTGAGAAGCTTATTGCCTCAATAACACGGATCATTAATTTGGCTTTTTAATCATTAAGAAAATACCTTGTTTGATGGAATGTTTGGGACAAAGTCAGACGTAAGAATTTTTTTTCTGTTTTCCTTACTCCTATTGCACTAGCCAGTAACTAAGCCACTGAACTCTTAACTAACCTCTTTTTGATAATTTACAGCTGATGGAATGATTATTTTTGTATGTGTACAAATTAGCGTGCAGCTCAGCCATTATTTTGAGTTGTATTGCTTTCTGAGTACTCTGCACTGGTATATGAGAAATATGGAGCAATAAAACACGTAATACAAACAAATTACAGGAAGTGTGGGGATTTACCCGAGGCATTTAGCTTGTCTTAATACCAGTTCCTAATGAAATTATGAGGAAATAAGTGGAATTCATTACTGTTGCTAATTTTCATTATTGTCTCCCTTTTGAAAATATTCACTGCAAAATTAAGGCGTCTTCTCCTCAAGTCCCCCCCTCTCTCTACAAGGCCAGTCAAAAGTTCTGCATTTCTCTACTCAGTGCCATTTGCTCTTTGTTCCCTCCCCTAAAAATCAAGCACTGTAAAAGAAGCAGCTTCCAGTGGTTCAGAAAGGATATAAGCAGAGCACCATGCATGAAAATTGCTTTACAGGTGGGTTAAAATAGGAGGTGCAGCTCTGGCTGTACTTCTACTATCACTCTACGGAATGAGGAATATAAATAGGCATTGCTGCCAACCTAAATCCTTGTTTTGTCTTAGATGCAGGTGACTGTGCAAGAGACACCAATGGTCACAGGATGTACAGCTCTTGCCATGGATGTGTGCAGCAGCCACGGTGCTTTGCACACATGAGCAGGGTTGGAGCCCAGGTAGGTGAACCAGAGCCTCCAGGACTCACACCACAGTCTCCACAAGCCTTCTGCTGCCAGCACCTTTCCTCTGTAGGAGAGGGTGAGCGTGCTTCTTTTTGTGTCTGTTGTGAGTGGCATTACTTCATTCAAAGATGCACAAACAGCAGCTGCTTGTTCCCGAGGTAGATGCCACCCCAGGCAGGTATCAGCAAATGGCTCCCTGCAGACCCTGTCTGCTTCCCAGCAAGGTGCAGGTGCCTTTTTGGTGCCCCTGCTCCCTGCTGGGCTGACAATACCTGTCCTACTATCTCCTGCTTCCCACCTGGATCCCAGCCTGTTCCACCTGCCAAGGTCTTGCTTGTGACAGATTAAAAATGTATTTGGTTTGTACTGAACCCTGCATGGCTTTCTCAAAAAGAACATCCTGCAGTTTAGGCAACTGAGGTTATTAATGCAGAAAATCGATGCCAGTTTGTTATGTTCAGAGCCTTTTAATGTTATGTTTATTAAAATCTCATGGTGGAGTTTTTCAGTAAAATCTTTCAGAGGCTTTTTATGTCAACAAATCCTAGAAAGACTTTTTACATCAATATTAATCTTATGAAGTCCTTTTTAATATGAGCACAACTCCTGAAGGCTTTTTTTAGCCATAAAAACCTTATCAATGCAGTTTCTAAATTTATTATGAGCCATTCAAAGGTAATAACCAAACTACAAATAAGCAGTGCATTGCAAAGTATGAATTGCAAAAATTGTTGCACTCTTATAAACGTGAAATTCTTCAAAACACCATTGATGTTGTAGGGAACCTTAAATACAGCCCTAGAGAATGTGAAATGTAATATTATGGACAGAAAATGTCTGAGCTGGGACAAGCTGGGACACAACCATCCGTCACAGGACAGGGATGTCTTTTCCTTGTCTCGAGGAAGAGCTCGTGCTCTCTTCACCATGTGAAACACCAAAAAGCACAGTGATGAGTAAGATCCATTCATACAGTTCATGATCCTTCACGACCTGTTAAATGGAACTTTGTCTTGCTGTTTTATCCTGTTTACTAAGGAATATGAGTGACAGCAGTGCAAATGCAATTACAATTCATCTACACTTCCCATTCCCTGTTCTGTTCCTGCTCTTAACTAGGGACTTTCCCACTGAAGTCTGGCAATGTACAGTTTTTCAAGTGGTAAATGGAATCACAGAATCACCGAGAAGTTTAAATCAGGAGATCCTCTAATTCAGTCTCCACTCAAAGCATGTCCAGCTAGACCAGTTTGCTCAGGGCTTTATCCAGCCATGTTTTCAATACCTCCAGGGAAGGAGATTTCACAACCTCACTGGGCAACCTGTGCTGGCCAGTGTTTAACAGTTCTTAATGAGATTTTATATATATACACATAGATATAAATATATATATATATAACTGGGGCTTCCCTTGAGCCTGTTGCCTCTTGTCCAGTCACCATCTGTGACCTCCTCAAAGGGTCTGTCTCTGTCTTCTCTGCTGAGCCTCTTTAGGCTGAACAAACCCATCTCTCTCAGCCTCTCCTTGTAAATCCTGAGCTCCGGTCCCGTGACCAGTTTTGTGACCCTTCACCAGCCTCTCCTCAGCATACAGTGAACCTGATAATTCTGTCTGCCGAGGACATTGAGCACCCCTGCATACCAGAGAGCATGGGAGGAAAGGCGGAGAAGAATTTACTGTTTCCAGTGTTGTGGAGGTCTCCTTGAAGCATGGGAGGGTGGCTTAAAAATGCGAGTTCTTGAGATAAGAGAAGGAAAATAGAGGATAGTACTGAGTAGGGTGCACACTGAATCATGATTGCTTTAAGGGATGTGCTCTCTTATCCACCAATTTGGTGAAGCCTGAGAGGCTCATGTACAGCCCCAAGGTGACTAAAATGAATCTGGCTGCTGCAGGGTGGGTGATGTGAATGGGCAGGGATGTGTCACGGACAATATACCCAGGCAGCCTGGGCTGCTGGGTGACTTGTTCCAAAGCTGCTCATGGACTCCGAGCATTCCCCTTTCACAGACATCACCAGAAGGATCACCAGCACCAGGATTTGAGCCATCTGAGAGGGGAAACATCTCCCTGTCCAACTCAGTTTCCTCGCACCCAGTTACTGGGCTGTGACTGTGACACACCAGATCCCTGTCACCTCAAAGATCAAAGATTTCTCCTGTGGCCTCAGCTCACCTGCAAGTCCAGTCAGAGCCTTCAGCTGCTGTCGAGTGCTCTTTGCTCTGTTTGCACAATTGCGAATGTTTCAGACTCTGTATTTTGTACTTTTGTCCTGTCTGTTTTGATGGTGCTTTGAGGGCAATATAGTCAGATCCTTATTTATAGGCAAGCTTTGTTTTGCCAGCTGAGAGGCTACCTCTACCATACACAACCTGACCCATGTATAGGAAAGGAGGCAGCCACGGCCTGCAGGCTTGAGCTTTCAAACAGACCTTTCACTAAGCTGCACTGAAAGTCAGCAGCAATAGAAATTCCTGAAATTAGGCAGTGTGAGTGCCATGGTTTCCCCAGGACTGCCCCCACGGTTGATCAGCACAAAATTCCTGTGGCTGCACAGCCAGCAAGGCTCCCATCCCTCCCATCCCCGCTTGTCCTCCCTGCAGGCAATCTCAAGCAGCATTTCGAAACCTTCAGCTTCTTTCTTCAAGCTAGGTGTAGATAAACATGATCCTGGTAGTTATCACTGGAGGGCTGAATGGCTGTTGAAAGCACTCTGCGAGTCTTCGAGCCTCTGCCTGCCAGCTCTCAGCCCCACGGTCTGTTTGCAGCTGGTTCAGGAGGCAACATGCTGTCATAATTCAAGGCCATTTGCTCCTAAAAGCAAGCTCCAATGCCCTTGTGTTCATATGGTTCTTAAATACTTCTTTATGAGATGCAGCTGTTCTGTAAGAGGTGTCCTCAGGGAGTAAAATTCATGCAGACTCTCCCAGGATGAGAGAAGAGGTGACAGCACCACAAATACCCATGTTATTGGTTATTTTGGCAGTCACCCTCCCTTCAACTTTTTTGTTTGCTTAGGGGGTGGTTGAATACCCCTGATAGTTCAGCATAGATCAACAACATACCTGGGATAAGCTAAGCACAGTGCTCCAAAAGCAGGACCACTGCCAGAGGCAGTGACTTCTTCCCAGTATAGAAACTCCTCGTGCAGGGAATGAAGGGGTGAAAAAAGAGGCTCTGGAGGACTTGCTATCAGTGTCTGCTAGTGAGTGTGAGTGGCAGTCCAGGCACTCTCTATCTGAGATCTTTACAGTTTCACGAAAAGAATTGCTCTTCCTGTATTGCCTAGGGATAGTTGCTTTAATTAGAGTCTGTTGGCGGGTTTCGAGGTGTAAAAAAACAGCAATCAAAATGGAAGGATTATTGCCCTTTTGTCTTGCGTGGGCTTCAGCATGTCTGAAACTTTGAGGGCCACGTTTTGATCACCGCCTAACCAAAGTGGGGAATTTGCAGGCTTGCACTTCAGTAAAAATGACCCAGTTATGCTTTTCTCCCTTTGCAACCAGCAGAACAGCAGCTGCTCCGTGCCTGTGTGCAGCAAGATCCTCCTTCATGGGGCATGTCTCTGAGCAGCTGGCTTGTGGGTGTGTGTACATTAAAAAAATACCACTTAAACATGTAAAAAAAAAAAAAAAAAAAAAAAAAAAAAAAAAGGTTGAAAAGGTTGATTTTGATAGAGGAAAAAAAAAACTTTTTTTTGTCTTTTTCTCATTTCCTCCTAATTGTAATAGAGGTGTCTGACTTGCCTCTTAGCATGCTAGTGCATGGATTGTTCCCCACTGAGAAAGACCCATCCTTGCATTCAGAGTTGGACTTTGGCATAGCACAGACACAGCCCCACACCTCTCCCAAAAGAGCCCCTGTGCACCACAAGGCTTTGTGTAGTCTTGCAGTCTTTGAAAAATAAATTGTGAAATCTCTGCCTCGATGCCTCTGCCTATGAAAAAGGCCAGCCTCATTTTACAGCACAGAGCAGATTAACTTGCCTCTGTGATGTAGGTGGATTTATGTCTCAGAGAGTGTTTCAACAATCCTAATGACATGAGAAAATCCATGCAGTAGTATACGTAGACCTTCCTGCAAAATTTACATGATTTTATTTTTCAAATCATTTCCAGTCTCCCCCAATTAAACCAGCATTTCTTATTATGATGCGTGTACTGCTTAAGAGATGAGTTTTTTTCCTATTTGATTCATGTCATTTAACTTCAGCTTTGAATTTTTAAACAAGAGTAATAAATTGTGACAGAGCACAGCGTTCACCCAACATCTGGTTGCTTTTGTACATTTTGCAGCTATCTCAGCCTCATTATGATAATTAATACCAATTTACTGTGTTTCAGGCCAACATTTCTGCCCTTTGCTGGAATGAAGAACCGTTCCCAGCGAGAGTTACAGATACGTTAAAGGGTTTTACAGCTGTTGGGGTGACTTTGGCTCACTTTGAGCTCCTGAAAGCTGCCGTGTTTTCCTGCAGGTGCCATGTCATGCAGTTCTTTCTATGGGTCCCACCTCAATATCTGCCTCCCTTCTCCCAGCAGAGGGGACATCTCCAGTTACCAGCTGCAGGGGGCTGTGCCAGGTCCCACTGGGATTTTGTGCAGATTTAAGCACTCAGACTTGCTGCATCCATCCTCTTAGATCTGAGGGTGAACACAGCAGTCTGAATGCAGAAAGGTCACTGCTACTTGCAGTTCCATTAGTTCCAGCTAATTATTATTGCTGTTTTCTTAATGTCTGTGCTCTTGTAGGACCTCATTGCAATGTTCTGTCTTTCAGTAGCTTAGAAAAAAAGCACAGAAGGTGTAAGATATATATATTAAATGTTTTTGTATTGAGTGAAGCCCTGAGCCTATATTTTAAGCCACTTGGCTAGTGGGGATACCTCTATGCAGGTACTGAGGACTGCTTTCAGGATCAGTGCCTAGTCACAGCTTGAGTCATTGATCCTCTGCACCTCAGTAGATCAAAACAGAACTACTATTGCCCTGTGAAAAAGTCCAGGAAATGGATAAATCATGACAAGAATAAAGACAATAGTAATAAAGGCCTTGAAAACCTCATGATTTTTTTTTTTTTCCAGGAAGGACAGTGAGATCATCTCATGTTCAGGGTGCTAACCATTTTGACTGTTTCTGGTACAGTAAAATCTGGATTAGGCCCCTTAAGCTCCTCCCTAAAAATTAATACAAAGCATTATCTTAAAAATTAAACTACTCCAGAAAGCAATGGCTCCATTTTCAAAGACAGGCCACGTACACTCTCTTACAGGAATGTACTCCATGCACACAAGGTGGACTAAGTGGACAAGGACAGAATTTACCCTAGAGATACTGCTGTCCTGAAACAGAAGCCAATTCTGGGCTTTGTGAACTTCCCATGATGGAGCATCTCTCCCCACTGGCACGTGACTGTGGTCCTGAGCCACCAGCCTCCTCAAGGAAGAACTACTCTTCATGAATCCTTCTCTTTATGGCAGTTGGGACTGTTGCTTTGCTTTTGGGACTGTCTGACTTTTAGTTAGAGCTTACACAGAACATTTTCACGCCTGGTAGATGACAAAATTCCCTAGTTTAAGTCTGTTGATTAGTTTTTAAAGTGTTCCTGAGGGTAATTATCTGTTTTTCTGTGAGTCAGTACTTCAACTGTTGCACGAGTAAAAGGTGGGTTGACTCAATCCAACTTTTAAAGAGCCCCAATGAGCAATACATTGATTAAGCCTTGTTTTCAGTGTAGAATTCAACTTGAGGAAAGCCAGGCCTGTAAGAAAAGCTAAAGAAAAATTTCTTTTTTTTTGCTCTGTGGAAATTTTCATGCAAACTTATCAGCTTTGAAAAAGGATGATGAGCTCTCCTGTACTGGCAGAAGGAGTACTTCTAGCACTAAAGCTACAGCAGAGGGAAAGCTTTTGAGGCCTGTGGTAGAACTATGCAGACAAAAGCCTTCCCTTGGAGCTTACTGTATTGACTAGGACTGAATCACAGTGGAGACCTGAGGGGAAAACCCTTCAAATAAGCCTAATGTGAGCAACTCAGTAAGAGTTTGATGGAAGTCTGCAGTGTGAAGACTGAATAACATGGTCAGAAAAAGATAAAGATACGAGAATGACAGACAAGTAGTCTGAGCAATTCTTCTGGTGCAAGTTTTGAGTTACTTTTGCTGAAGGCTGTTTCATCTTCCCAGCAATCTTGATTGAAATAAAGTTGTACATACTTGATTTCAAACATCCTGATTTATGGGCATGCACAAAGAGTGAATCCTAAATTTCTCTGACTGTATATGAAATTTTGGTCTACTGCCTGTGAAACACAAAATGATACATGAAATGATGAAGTGCCAGAGGAGCTGAAGTCTACCCAAAAGAAATACAGCCAGTATTATCTGAGGGCTGCAACTTTTGTTGTCTAAAGAAGATCCATCATGTACGTCATCAGGGAGTACACAGAAGCTGTGTGGGACAAAGCATTTGAGGGTTATTCACTCAGCATGCAGAGCTGCAGAGCTACAGAGCTGCAATCACCCTTTAACTTTGTGCCCAAATGTTGTTCCTATATGTTTGGCATTCTGAACCACATTCTTACATGAATTACGATTGTAGTAGTGACTACAATGGTTACAGCCCATCAATAAGGAAAAATACCCTCTTGGTTCTAAAAAGATGCTTTGCAATTTATGTTATAAGGGATAATGAAATTTTGCATTAATCAGTAAAGACAGGAAGAATGTCAGGTGAAAGACAACTGGTAAATAGGGCAGATTATAAAAACAATTTTACTTCTAAGAATGAAACTGTTGAAATAATTATTTTATTTTGCTGCTAAAAAATCTTAAACTGCTGAAAACACCATCATGGCTGGTGCAGAAACAAGAGAAGTTGATTGTAGACTACCAGAATATCTACTATCTGTACATCTTCATATAGCCATCACTTGAGCATAACAGGAAATTAAATGCTATTATTTTCTAAGATTCATTTGTATTTAAAGTAGCACAGAAACTGCAGTTATTACCAAAATAGATTTTTTTTTTTTTTTTTAACTGAGAAAGCAATTAAAGGATTCACTGAAAAAATACATAGTTCCTTTTGTGGTCAATGATTCTTCAAACCATTAAATGTCAAAATACTTTTCATAGCTTTCTACCGAATAGTTGAAAGGGAAATCATCCATTGTATGATTATTTTTAAGACAACAATGAAACTGGAGAAAGAGAATGAATATTTATTTCCGCCCAATTGCTTGTCTCCCATCATGAAAACATCCTGTGGGCAACTCATCATTTGACCTTGAAAGCACTGCATCAGAATTCTTCAGTTGCTTTTCCTTATCTACTAAAGGAATTTTATAATTAGCAGGAGATGTTTTATTTTGTTAACATGAATGCACAGAAACTCTGAAGTGTATCCTCTCTATACCCTGTAATTGAAAAGATCTGAAATTGCTTTTGAGTATGAAAAATAATCAGTGTATGTTAAGTGAGAATTTCCTAGCTGATTTTACAGTTCTTAAAGAATAATGTAAATAGAACGATGAAGAGAAATAATCATCTAAGTATGATATAAGTTCCTTTCACAGTGTATTCAAAATGTTTACGTTCTTAAAATGAGAAACAACAGATACTGTAGAGTTCAAACCTTATGACTTTGTTAGTTGACAAATACATTACTGTGATGAAATGACAATAGGAAGCAAAAGACTTGTAGGATGGTTTGGTCATTTTTTTTTGGAGAAAAAGAAAAAAAAAAGTAAATTTCTTAGGAAATCAGAGCTGATACAGAAAGATGTTTGTATGTGGAATAAGGTGTGTTGAGGCTGAATGGAATGTGTGAACCTGTGCCACAGGACTTGTCCTAGAAAAAGGTGCAATGTTTGCTCTCAGTTGTATAAGTAAAAGTTTTCATGAACTGTTTTAAGAAAAATAATATATTGAAATAAATAATATATGAAAACTGATATTAAACACTATTTTAATGGATGTTCAGCCCAACTGAACCTTCTGCATTGTGACTTGGGATAGGGTAAGCCTGGATATATCTACAGGCTGGGGGAGGAGACGCTGGAGTTGCAAATGAGCCAGCAGCGTGCCCTGGCAGCCAGGAGGGCCTGGCTGTACCCTGGGGTGCATCAGGCCCAGCACTGCCAGCCTGGCGAGGAAAGGGATTGTCCTGCTCTGCTCTGTGCTGGGTGGCCTCACCTCCAGCACTGTGTGCAATTCTGGGTGCCACAATATAAAAAGGGCATAAAACTGTTAGAGAGTCTCCAAAGGAGGGCCGCAAAGATGGTGAAGGGTCCAGGAAAGACGTATGAGTAGCAGCTGAGGTCCCTTGGTTTGCTCAGCCCCGAGCAGAGCAGGCTGAGGGGAGGCCTCATGGCGGCCTGCAGCTCCCTCACGAGGGGAGCGGAGGGGCAGGCGCTGAGCTCTGCTCTCTGGGGACAGCGACAGGACCCGAGGGAACGGCATGGAGCTGGGACAGGGGAGGGTCAGGCTGGGGGTTAGGGAAAGGGTCTGCACCCAGAGGGTGCTCGGGCACTGGGACAGGCTCCCCATGGCTCCACAGTGGTCATGGCACAGAACCTGCTGAAGTTCAGGAAGCATTTGTACAAAGCCCTTGGACATAAGGTCTGATATTTTGTGTGGTTCTGTGTGGACTCAGGAACTGTATGATCCTTGTGGGTCCCTTCTAACTCAGGATATTCTATGATTCTATGAAAGAGCATCTTATAAAGCTGAAGAAAAACATTGTGTATCAGTGTTAGTTCATGCTTTTTTATAGATTGATGGAAGATGAGCTGCATATCTGTATGTTAACAAGTTAATATGCTACCATAAGTAAAAAAAATAATATTATATATTAATCTATTAAAATTTTGTACATAAATACCATTTTTCTTTTCTAGCTTAGTGCAACATAGAGGCCATCTAAACCATTCAGAAAAACATTATACAGAAGAAGAAGCCTTCATAAGGATGTTTAAGTTGACATGTGGCTTTGGTCAAAAACAGGCACATTTTTAAGCAGCCTTCCATCATCCTGGCCTCTGTATATCCAACCAGCATTCTGGGTGTGGACATGAGATGTTTTTCTTCAGAACATTCTGGTTGCATACAGTGTGGGTAGAACATCTGAATAGCTTCTACAGCAGGCGAGATGTCTGTTCGTTATCAGCACGTACGTGCCTGTGTTCATTTCTTTACAGTAAATCAACTTAGCGTGATACTAAAAACTGAAAGACACAAAGTTAAGTGAACTGAGAGACCCCCAACTTAAACTGCTTTATTAGCAAACCTGAAACATCCAACAAAAAAAATATACTTCAAAATGTTCCTCTTAGGAACAAAAGGAAAGGAAGCGTGTGCAGGTTTGCCAATGACTGCTGTCATGGCTGGCAGTGGCATAAAACTTTAGAGGACATGAGAGAAAGCATCAACCAGGGCAAAAATCCCAGTCTCTGCACCATGCATTTCACATTCGGGAGGTAAATTAATTCCTCTTTATTTATTTATTTATTTATTTTATTTTATTTTATTTTTATTTTTTAAATATTTGTCTGGATGTTCTGCATTTGAAAGTAATGTATTTGCAGGAATATATTTTATAGCACTTGATCTTGTGGCATCGCTGACTGTTACATTCAGATAATTTCCCTGCCCTGCTGGAGGTGGTCCTGACAGTGCAACAGATTCAACATGAAGAGCTGGCTAATTTTTCAGAAAGAAAGACTCTGTCTTGCACAGCACAGCTGAAAGCAGCAGTTACACAGTGTTAGGAGGGGAGCCAAGAGCTGCCAGGTTGGACAGGAACCAGGATCGGTATGGTCCAGATCTATGCTGTGATCTAGCACCATTTGCCTCAGATGAAGGCACCAGAAAACTGCACATGACAAGTATGAGATACTTTCCCCTCAGAAATGTCTCTTCCATTTGTGGTGAAAAATACACAGATGTGTAGTTAGGAATCCCCTTAACTGCAGAAATAGGAGGGCTTCCAAATGTCTTGCCCCTATCACAAGATAATGTCAGGTATGCTTTATCTAAAAAAAAACCATAGCATTTTTCAAATTATCGTGAATTTGTGGCCACATATTCTGAGCTTTCATGTTATTGGCACCACGGAAGTCTGCCTAAAGAACCCATGGAAGGTCTAAGCCACCATGTTATTTTTGGAGAACAAAATATAACACTTCCATAAAGGAGCTAAGCCTGAATCATTATATGTCAAGAAGGAAAGTCATACTTTAAGTAAAAATTGTAAACTATATCTGTAGTAGATGCAACCAATTCATAGACCAATGGAGAATCTACAGTTGTTTGACATTTTTTTTTCCATATATATATTCTTAGTATTTTTTACTAAACTTTATTTAGATTTTGCTTTCCTTGACTCATGCAGCTTGTCAGCGGCTATTGTCAGTGATAGCTGCAGTGATGTTTAGGAGAAGCAGCTTATTTTTCTCATGGATTTAAATCAGCTTTGTAGGTACTTAGTTTCTTATGCAGATGTTGGGATTGCTGGAACTTGTTCTACTGAAGTTTGTGTTTTGTTTAGACACATTCTGTATTGTAGTTGCTGCAATCCTTATGAGATTCATAGAAGCAGACTTCTGTTTTCTTAGCTTTTGACTTCTCAGGTGTGTGCATGTACATAAACATGCACATTATGCAATGCATAATAGTCATTATCTACATACATTATTTAACGCATATGTATAACATGTGCATTGTATAATGCATTATATAATTACATATAATATAATTATTGTGCATAATATATCCAAGAAAAAAATTGTAGCAGATGTTTTATCAGACAGTATGTCAGACATTGGTTAATCCATGTATTTCAGCGCTTTTTAATTTTTATTTATTTATTGTGGGAGAAGGAACTGTGAATCTCTGTAGTGACTAACAATAGATTTAAATAATTTTTGTGGATCTCACACAGAAACCACTGGACTGGGAAGACAAGGTAAGGGACAAACAATCTGACCTCTCAAAGCCCCCCATACTCCTACAATTCTGTGATGTGCAAACTAATATTTGCCTGACAAAACTGGTGGCCGTCTACAATGGGGTTACAGCATTGGTGGATAGGGGAAGAGCTACTAACATCATCTACCTGGACTTGTGCAAAGCATTTGACACTGTCCCCAATTATATCCTTATCTCTAATTTGAGAGACAGGGATTTGATGGATGGACCACTCTGTGGGTAAGCAATTGGCTGGATGGTTGCACTCAAAGAGTTGCGGTCAATGGCTCAAAGTCCAGGTACAGATAAGCAAAGTGGTGTTCCTCAGGGGTCAGTACTGAGATTGGCACTAGGTGACATGGACAGTGAGACTGAGTGCACCCTCAGCAGATTTTCCAGTGACACCAAGCTGTGTCATGCTGTGAATACTCTGGAGGGAAGAAGAGATGCCATCCAGAGGGACCTGGACAGGCTTGAAAGGTGGGCCTGTGCAAACCTCATGAAGTTCAAGTGCAAGGTCTGGTGCTTGGCTCAGGGTAATCCCAAGCACAAATACAGGCTGGGCAGAGTGGATTGAGAGCAGCTCTGAGGAGAAGGGCCTGTGGATGCTGGTTGTTGAGAACCTCAGCATGAGCCAGCAACGTGAGCCTGCAGTCCAGAAAGCCACCCATATCCTCAGCAGCATTAAAAGCAGCATGTCCAGCAAGGTGAGGGAGGTGATTGTCCTGCTCTAGTCTGCTCTGGTGAGACCTGGAGCCCTTCATTCAGCTCTGGGGCTCCTGGTGTCAGAAGGACATGGGCCTATTAAAGTGCATCTAGAGGAGGGACACAAGAAGGATTGGAAGGCTGGAACACCTGAAGACAGGCTGAGGGAGCTGGGGTTGCTCAGCCCAGAAAGAAGGCTCTGAGGAGACCTTATAACAACCTTCCAATACCTAAAGAAGGCCTAGATAAAAGCTGGGGAGGGACTCTTTGTTAGGGGTGTGGTGACAGAACAAGTGGTAATGGCTTTAAACAGAAAGGGGGTAAATTTAGAGTAGCAATTAGAATGAAATTCTTCACTCAGAGGGTGGTGAGGCCCTGGCACAGGCTGCCCAGAGAAGCTGTGGATGCCCCATCCCTGGAGGTGCTCAAGGCCAGACTGGATGGGGCTTTGGGCAACCTGGTGTGGTGGGAGGTGTCCCTGCACATGGCAGGGGGTTGGAATTGGGTGGGCTTTAAGGTACCTTTCAACCCAACCACCCTGTGATTCTATAATTTAGATATGGGAGAAATTCAGAATGCACATGGTGAAAAGTTCTCCAGCAGAGACTATGGGAACTCAATTATATCAAAATGGGGGGAGGGGGTACTTTTATTTTTATTTTTGGTTAAGAATCTGTAACCTTATTGTTGTCTAAACATCAACATATGGAAATACACTAGTACTGATGTTACTCTGTAGTATTTTTACTTCACTGAGCATTCCTTATTCAGGAACACACAGAGTCCTTACCACTAACCAAAATGCAGAAGTCCCCTTCCTTTACTGAGCTGGAAAATGTGATTTAAATACATCTATGCAGCTGTTCTCCATTGCAATAGATCTTTGAATACTGAGGCATCATCACCTTGCAGATTAGGCTGATCTAAAAGCCAGAAACTGCAAAAGTGTCATTATTAACTTTTATGTGCCTTTTCCTTTAAAGAAGTGCAATGAATCTGAAACAGGAGCATGTTTCTTACCACTTATCTGACCGGTCTTTTAGCTCATATTTAGCTTCAGAACATGTGTCTGTAAAGCCTGGAATTAAAGGCTGCATCCTGCCAGTAGAAGTTGTTTGGCATTCACTGAATTTGGTGGGAATTCAGGACCTAAAGCACCTTGTAAGGATGAGCCATAGACACCACCTACCTGGGTCCCACACCGTGGAACCATAACACAAACGAGACCCCATGGCTCTT